CAAGCCGGCCATTGGAACCAAGGGTGTGAGGAATCATTTACTTAGAAGGGCCTGGTGTCCAGGTTGGATGACATGACAAGCTGCCATGGGTGGCAACAACCCTTGCACAGCCCATGGGAACTACACCATGGCTTGTTTGGAAGAACAAGCTACCCTTGGTGAAGCCCGTCCTGCTCACATGACCCACTAACCCTCCTAGAGTAACAAATTGTGGTGTGTTGTCATGTCAGCTCAGTCAATATATCTCATGCAAGGACTATGATAAAGGATTTTCTTTTGGCGCTAGCAACCTACCAGTGCATTCCATTTGTTTGTTCATTCTTTATTTTAATACACATTTTGAAGTCTGTCTTCCTTGCAACATCTGCCTTTCTAACAACTAGGGTGAATCTGGCCATTCAGTGAACTGTTACAGAAATGACTACAAACGATGTGAAAGCCCCACCAGGAAATCCTGCTGTGTGGAAAGCAAATGTGTTTGATTTGAATTGCTATAAGCCACCTTAATTTCTTTTCTTTGGATAATGAATCTGCCAGACTAAATAAGACTCAGAAGTGGGCCTGGGCAGAGGGGTGGGGAGGGTGAGCTCTTTGAAATACACAGCTGCATATAAGTGTTCTTAATTAGCATGGAGACAAACCACAGTGGTTTTCTGGATTTTTAATTGCAGCATCATTGATAAACAATAAATTCTGTTATGAGATAGCAGAAGATACATATGCAGGCCAAGTTATATGACTAGATAAGATTCATTTAGTTCTTAAATAGAGTTAATACTTTGAGATGCCTACCCTTATAGGGCAGCTGACAATAACCACCAATTACAAGTTATTAAAACATCACAACCCTTTCAGGACAATATAAAATATATAACCATGTAAAATAACAGGAGCCCATTAAAAAGTTATGAAAGGAACTTTAAGATCTTCCAAAAGCAGACAGCTGTAACTTTTTGCAGGGTTTTCCTAAAAATGACTGTTGGAGACACTGCCATACCTATCTCCTTGGGAAGAGAATTCTGAAGTGACAAAAATTACCGTAGAAGAAACTGTGTTCCTGCTAGTTATGAAGTCAGATACTTGCTTCCTTAGTATTTACTCATTAAGGGTTTTCTGACTTCGGCAGCTGGTTTCACACAACCAACACAATCAAGTGCTTGGCCCACTTTCTGTTGAATTTACAGCAAGTCTTGCATGAAATTAACAAAAGCCCCCTTGCCAAGAATTGAGCCAGATGGCATCCTCACACCCTTATTCTGGTCTTGTGAATCAACCCTAGACAGAATCTGCCAGATCCTGTTAAAACTTAACAGTTGATGAGAAATAGTAAGTTCTTAAGGTAGCAGAATTAAACTGAACCGGGGTGGGGCTGAGTTTACTAAAAATCGCCTCTGGAAAGTCACACATTTTTGTGAGATTGTGGAAAAGAAGCAATGGGATGAGGGAACGGGTTCCTATCACCTTCACAAACAGAACAGAGATTCTGGTTTCATGTACTGCAAGCATGAATCCACTCCAATGCGTTGTGACTGGACAGGGATCATTGGCCAGTTGCCCATTTCGATGTATGTTAAAATCTGCATCCACAGGTTGGTTGTTTACACTATATTGCTGCCAGTGCAATAAGTAGTTGAATGTGTGTTTTGAAGACCATTAAGAGCCTTACGCACAATCAGACCAGTGGTCCATCATTCTCACAATGGCTCTCCAGGGCTTTAGGCAGGTATCTTTCCCCAGTCTACCTGGAGATGCTAGGCTAGGTGCTTAACCCTCCCCTGAACATTGCAATACACATTTTTGTGAGACTATAAGTGAAAGCTGTATGGCTTCATTTGCTCACACTGCATGACCTGTTAAGCCATGCTGGCTTTGAACAAGAAGCCATGGCATAATGACTTAGCATGTCATCTACACCCACTAACCCATGCTCAAGCCAAAATGCCACAGGGATGTTTGGCCAGAGTGGTTTAGAGTGTCATGCAGGTGCAGTGCCAACTAAAGGGCAGGGGCTGCATGTTTAACTAGGCTTCCTTCCAGGGATATTGAGTCCAATGTGCCTCTTCCCCCAATGCCTGCAGCTGTGGAGGGTGAGCCATGCTTGGCTGGGTCCCCCTAGGAGCAGGTCCAGAGGAACACACTGCCCTTGTTTGATAAGGAGCCACTGACGTTCAGCAATCCCAAATGGAAGCAGCAGTCTCATTGACCTCACTTGGCACAGCCACACTCTCAGGAAGCCAAGCCGAATGCGTTTCCTGCTACTCTGGCTCCTCACCTGGCTCTCCAGCCAAAGCTTGGTTGGTGCTGGCAGGAGTGCCAAGCCAAGAAGCTGATGACAGCAACCCAAAGTGCCACTTGGGCACTTTCCGGAAACTGTTGTCTCTGCTTCCACTATAGCATGCCCTTGCCTAGCAGCCTGATCCCAGCAGGAAGGGGTTATTCTTTAACATGGCCCTTCTGTTCTTTCTTGTTCACTGGATTGGTATGGGAGAACCTCTTCTATGATGTTTTGGTTTTAATATTTATTAATTTTTATGTATATCTTATTTATTTTATTGATTCCATTGTTATACTGCCCAATAACAAAAGTTCTCTGGGCAGCTTACAACAATTAGTCAATTACAAAAGAGACAATAAAAATACAAATACCATAAAACAAAGTATAAAAATTCAATGCGCAAATATAACACAGCGAAAAATCCCAATATACAAAAAATATAAAACTGTTTAACATGTAAAACATTTCCATTTAAAAACCAGACCTAATTGAAACTTAATTTTTAGAGTTTGGCCTGGGATAGTGTACTCTGCATGTCATGGAGAACAACAGTCCAACCTTTCCTTATTTATATCAACACATGTAAAATATTTGCAGATACAAAAATGGAATGTTTAATTTAAAATTGTCATTTCACCACAAACTAGAGAAATGCTTCTATACAATAAACTGTACTTGTTGTCTTCAGATGTCATTATCTGGGAAACTCCGCCAAAGGAAGTGAAATGATTTTCACTTAATATGTAGTTAGTGACTTGGATTTCTTGAATGCATTACTGTACATGGTGATACACAGGACTTGTGCACCTTCTCAGTTATTGCTTAAATGTTGGTCTAGATAACTCAGTATTGTGTGTGTGTTTTGTGCCATCAAGTCTCAGACTTATGATAACCTTATGAATGGAAACCCTCCAGTGTCCTGTCCATGACAGCTCCATTCAGCTCTTCCAAGTTCCAGGCTGGGACTTCCATTATGGATTTAATCCATCTTGTATTTGGTCTTCCTTTTCTTCTACTGCCTTTGACTTTCCCTGCCTTCTTCCTTCCTGCTCCAGGGAGTCTTGCCTTCTCATGATGTGTTCAAAGTATGACAACCTCAGCTTTCTCATTTTTGCTTTGAGGGAAAGCTCTAGCTAGATTTGATCTAGGATCCACTTGTTTGTCCTTCTGTCTATCCAGGGTATTTGCAAAGCTCAGTATTACGGATGACAAATTTCCTTGCTTTTTTTCTATCAAATAACTAGATTTTGTAAACAAAGATTGTATAATGGCCTAAACACTAATTTGAAGAGCTTAAAGCCCAGTATAGTATAAGCCCTATTGGAATATTTAGACAAGCAGCTTTTTAAGAGTGCATTCGCAAAACCTCTTCTAAGCAGAGAGGACATAGACAGCATTCATGTATGCCCAGGGCAATCCAGACTTTCAAACAAACAAACAAACAAACAACCTTTAGCTAAGGAGCATATTAATGGGCCCTCCTTTTAAGAGGGTATCTACAGTACACATAAATGTTAACCTCCTAGTGAAACAAAATGCAACATGGTATTTTTCCTCAGATTACTGTTTTGTTGGCTTACTTCTCCCCTCAGGCAGGGCTTGTGTGTCCCACTGAAGCATAGTTCAGGCTGTTGCTTAAACAGTGTAGTTTAACCAGCACATTCTAGTAGTGGTAACCCAGCCTGTTTAATGAACTACAGATGCTGAAGAAGGATGGTACCGCATTGGCAATGCAGCTCATACTTCAAGGCAGGCAATCCATACCCAATGACATCACACTGCAGAGCAACAAACTGGACTTGGGAATTCCCTTGCCAATAGAAAGACTCTTTTTTCTTAATCCATTTCTTGTTGAAAATGTACCTGATTCATTCCAGATGTTCTGAGATTTAATGACTCAGGAAATGGCTCTCTTTAACAGAAGGCCTAAGCTCGGTGTCTTGTTGCTGTTGTGATGAGGATTTTGAAATCTTCTGTCAGCCTCAAACCAATGAGGCTTTCAGTAAAGGCACCCCAAAGCTCTCAATCTGATGTTGGTTCCTTCAAATCAGATGTGAGTTGTACTGTCTGAAGAAGTAGGCGTTTTCCCTCTCAGTGGTGAGGGAAATATACTGAAAGTATATTTCAGTATACTTTGGGTATTGAAATATTCCCCTAATTTTAATCAGTTTCATTTTGTAAGATAACAGGCAGCTGCAGAGAGAGTTCCACACAGTACTTATTTGCTGTTACCTTGGTGAAAAATTGCAGCTGTGCCTCTTTCTATATAAATATGAGTAAATATTTTGAGCATGAACATGTTATTGGAATACTTACAGTGTTGCACGTTCACTGAATTAAATGTGGTCACATGTTTCTTGGTCAAACAAAGTGAAGGGGTTTTTTGGTTTGTTTTTAAGAGTAGTTAGGGAAGGGACGAAAACGCCCTATATTGCTTATGTTGCTTCCCCAAATTTTACCAGTTGCACATAGATGGAGAATTTCAGATGCTTGTTTCAGTATTGCTTCATATTATTTAAATATTAATAGAGGCAGCATTGGGGGCTAAGTGGCAGACTAAGAAGAGGAGAGCCAAGTACATCATTCTTTTGTTTGCACTTGTCTTATCACAGGAGAGTTATTTGGTATTCCAGAAATGTGATGCCCAAGTTCCTGTGCTATGAATTAAGAAAAGGTGCAGATGGTTAGCAATGAAGTGTTAATTTGATGCCATCTCTATCTGCAGTGTCGATGACAGAGCTCCCTATCTGGCTTTGGGAGCGGTGAAGAACATTTCACTGAACATCTCCATTTCCAACGTTGGGGATGATGCGTATGATGTGAACATAGCGTTCAACTACTCCAAGGAGCTCTTCTTCATCAAAATGTGGCAAAAGGTAGGAACAGTATGTCAGCCTGAAGAGAGGCAAGGCAGTCTCTCCATTAATTGGAAGGAAGTCAGTAGAAGTTTAACTGCTTTTATTTGTCTCACAATGTAACTATGGGAGTTTGACTCCCCTATTCATCTTGATGGAAGCTATTTCATAAGGTTGAGCAAAGGCGGTTTTGCATGTGCTGGCTTGGCATGGAAGTGGAAAAATAATTTTTGTTTGATGCCCTGGATGCTTCTTATTTTGCAGTTGTAAATACTAAGGCATGCTGGTTTTGTCAATCTTAAAGGTTACCAGTAAAGACAGAAAGCTCTAAGCTTCTAACCCAGCACGCCTGGTCTGCACATATGAGTGCTTAAGGTGAATTCACACACTTAGAATTGCAGCACTGATTGGCATAGTGGAACTCAATACCAGCTAAAGCAGGAGTGGGGAATCAGTTGTTGCTGGATTCTATCACCCATCAGCCCAAGTGAACATGACCCGTGGTGAAGGACGATGTAAGTTGTATTCCAGCAATCCTTGGAAAATCACATGCTCCTCATCTTTGCAGTTTCTGTCTTTCTTCCTTTGCACTTACCAGTTTTAATGGCTGCTTTAATGACTATGACCCAGGTGGAGAGGCCTGCATTTCCCTTATATTGCCACCTGAAACACATTCTTGGAATAAAGACCACCCTGGCAGCCAGGTTTATAATCTCCCCTGGCTAGTCCCTCTGATATACAGTAACTCACCATCCATTTCAGTTTGTTTTTTCTTGAGCCTGCTAAGCACAGCTTAGTAGATTAAATGTAATAAGCTTTCATTTGGCTATTACAGCTATGAGAAATGAGGACAATAACTGGTTCTTTGTTTCAAATGGCTTATGTAAACTTCTGAAAAAGGTATATTAGGTGTATAGACACCAAATATCTAATATTATTATTTAAAGAAAGAATTATGCCCTGCTTCAGTAATGATTAGAGTTGCATTTACTTTCTGTGCAAGTGTTATTGTTGCTGGCTCTCATTTCCTTTAGACTCTGAAATTTCATGAGTCGTGTTAAAGACATTTCTTGGCAAGGTCCCGATTCCTCTTCATCAGGGTGAGAAAGGGCACACTGACTGATATTTAAAAGGCTTCATTTATTGAGCTGTTTCATTTTTCCCTTTATTCTGTAGCCAGCCAATATTAGTGCTCTGGCTACAGGTTGAAATGACCCTCTTTGTAGCCTTCATATGAGTCCTTAAATGCACATAATTTGGAAGAAGATCCTTTATAAGGGGGCCTGTTCATGTGTTTGGCTTGCCTATTAGTCTTACATCTTTTCCTTAGTTTATTTATGCATGTAGCTATTTAAACTACTGCCTACGCTGCAGGATATCCTAAAATCTGTAAGCAGTTTGCATAAAAAGCACATACTACTATAAAAGCCAATGTAACACAATATAAAATAATAACTACATTATAAACATTACAACAAGAACAGCAGAATCATACTGGAATAGACTAGTATCATAGCTGATATCAAGTAACATGGCTGTTGTAGCAATGGCCATTCCTGAAGTGATAGTGCTTTTTCCCAGAAATCCTTTGCAATTAACTTCAGCGTCCCCAGTTGATTAGTAAATGTTGGATGCTTCAGCATTGTCTTTCCATGTTCTTTCATCTTTCTTTCCCTAGCATGTTTTGTATGCTTGTTTGGGTGCTGAGGTACTGAACAATGGCATGAAAAAATGGTTTTTGAACATGTTCATGTGGATCAGAAATAGCATCCAATATTTATTTATTTATTTATTAAAACATTTCTATGCCGCCCCTTGCCAAAGCTTGATCAGAAGAGGATTTGGAGGTTGCATATGTCTCAGGGGTGGGTTGGGTTTTGAAAATAAATCCAAAACATGTAAGAAAACTGTCCTCAGATAGCTAAAAGTTTTTATGTCTTCTCCTGTGTTTTGTTCTTACTTTTGGTTTTGCAGTGAACAATCAGTGTTTCACAGCAATATACTAGTATTCAAAATATTTAAGACAGTGTCATATATTTCTGAAAGTTGCACTGAAATCAAGTATTTTCTTCCAAATAAATTGGAATTCTAGACTCTTTTAAAGTAGGATTCAAATTCTAAATTAATCTGCCTAATGACCTCTTTGTAGGTGATTAAAAGCAGTCATGGTTTAATAGCTTGCTCTTTCTTTCTTTCTTTCTTTCTTTCATTCTTTCATTTGAAAGAGCTATAGGTGTTGACCTCAAACCTTGTTCTTTTCATAACAAGAGCTAGAAGTGTATTTATTTTGAAAGGAGTTGCATCTTTCATACCAAACAATCTCATGCTTGTTTTTGAGAGTTGAAAATAGCATTCAGAATAGATTTCCCAATGAAATGATAATGTATGTATGTATGTATTTATTTATTTATTTTGAAAATGACCATACCCAGTTACACACTTTATATTAGCATGCCTTCGTGTCAGGAACTGATGATAATTGTGGTCTTTCATCTGCTTGCTCAGCTATCTTGTTTTTGGCAGTAAAGGCATAGACCTTATTGTTTTCATTAGGAATTTTGTTTGTTTGCTTTACATCCTGGTCCTGCTTTGCTTATTGAAGTCACTGAAGCTAACAGACATGTCGAAATTACAATCACACTTTTGCTTAACTGGCACGTGTTTTGTCCTGACTAAAAGCAGAGCTGTTAGCTGTTATTCTGAAAGAGTTATTTGCAAGACTCCAGGTATTAGAAAAACTGGCTCCAATTCATGAAATTTCCAGCCTTCAACTTTTGTCTTCCCCATTGTATTCAAAGCATGCTGCCCCCACCCTTTCCAGCCTTCTAAAAATTAGGGGAGCTGTCACTAAACATCAGAGATTTCTCCTGTAATTCACGTATTGACCTGCCCAGAATATTGAGTCCCTAATGGGGGAGAGCTGTAGAAGCCTGCAGGGGATTTGTGTTACTGAACCCACACCTTTGGACTGGGCAGAGTGTAATCAGCTGGGCTCTATACATCGATGCCCTGATGGGAATCTATGTCATCCTTTGTTCCTTTAGTGCAATCTTTTCCAAAGTGGAATCCTTCATAGGCATTGAGCAACCACTCCCATCACCCCAGCCACATCTACAAGGAATTATGGGGATTGTAATTGAACACATCCAGGGGGCACCAGGGTTGGAACGACTCTTTCAGTCATGAACTATTGATGACACCACCATGGATGTCCTGACTAGCCACTGTGCAGAGGAAATGCTTCTGTTTGTCTTCCTGGTTGCAAAACCTTTGCTTTTTAAAATTTCTCACACTCTTAGTCCTCCGCAGCCTCACAAAACGAATGTGGAATGTGCTCATGGAAACTTGGACTTTTCCTGGAAATTAGGAAGTGTGCTCTATCACTTCTCTTTCATTGGTTTTGTCTGATACAACTTTTTCTCTTTCAAAATTGGTTCAAAGTTCAAAGATCCAAACTAGGATCAAGCCAAGTTCATACTGACTCCATATTTGTATGGGGATCTTTGGTGGGCCGTTATTGGGCCTCCCAAAACTCTTCTTGGGAAACCCATGGATCGCAATGGGGTGCAGGTGGATATCTCCTCCCTCTGTTTTTATGGGAGGCAATGGGTCTAGTGCAAAGCCTGGATTTAGCATTACTTTCATGAGCCCTAAATTCTAGCTTAGCATTATGTGCCATTGTTCTAGAGCAATTGTGAGCAATCATCTGACCCAGGAGTAGGCAACTTGTGGCCCTCCAGAACTTTTGACCTGCAAGTTCCACCAGCCCTAACAGTATAGCCAGTAGTGAGGGATCATGTAAACTGTAGGCCAAAGCATCAGGAGAGTTGCATGTTGCCCACCCTGATATAACCAACACTGGTATTCACAAAGGGGATAAATCTGTGTCCAGGCTCCAATCTGTGACCTCAGATTGCAGGTCTCCTCATCTCAAAACCAACTATTAGGAAGAAGGATTTTAGCCTAGTTTTCTCCCTGCTATGGTAGCTTGCTCTGTATGTTTTGGGAAGAAATATTCTATCATTGGATGCTATCACTTCTTACATTTCAGACACTAGGGTACGATTTCTGTGAAAACTAGGCTTAAGCCTAGCCATGTCACACACTTAGTTTCATTCATATTAGGGAAGGGTCACAACAGACAATAGAGAACTCCACCTGCTTGTTCTCAGTGCATCTCACTGACCTGAGAGCCCAAAACCAGGCACATTTTGTTTTTTAATGGCTTTAAAGTGGGCCGTGATTTGCATTTTTTAAGGCAGAAAAATTTGTATCAGGTATAGCCATACTTTGTAAACATGTCTTTTTTAAAATAAGCAAATTGTGGCTTGCTTTAAAAGTGCAAGGCTGTGTCCTGGCTTGACTTATGTTGGAGCAAGTTGGTGCCAACACTGAATAGACAGGCTGGAATCCAGGGGCTGAGCCGAGCAGGCCTGCACTAAGCGAATTCCTCATGTGTAGACTGATATGTGCAATAAACCCTTTTCCGTCTACTGCATCTGTAAATCCTGGTGTAAAAGTTGTCATTTTTAGCCGTCTGATGACAAATACTGCAAACCTGCGCTTACCTTTGAGGAAGATTTAGTATTGCAGAGCAGTAATTTACACCAACAGTGTGCACCACTTCAGGACGTTTTCCTGATGGATGTGCACTTGCCCCTGTTGTTTTGTGTCACGTTCCATGACATGTAGACATCTATACAGAGTGGGAGATAATCTTCAGAAATGAGAACTGGATAGCACTACTGCCGAAGAGCATGATACAATGCTGGTATGCAGGATGGAAGGCATCCTGCATACCAGCCAAACTTTTATGTGGAGTAAGAGAGAGTTGAATGCCCTTCCTCCCACTCCCAGAACAAGAACTAATAAAACAGATGGGCAAATAGTACAGAAGGCCTGCAGGCCTTAGCTTACATGCTCACATCTGGTACAGACTCCCCACATCCTGGACCAACAAAAGTCATCTTGTAAAAGTAAGTATAAGAATATAAGATTCACTGTAGTGGATCAGTCCATCT